CGCAAGGCCTTTGTGCAAACATGCTTGCCAGACCGTCTTTGCATGCTGCGTTGCATGATGGAGCCAGCTTGCAGCAGCCTGTTGACGGCTCCAGTGTGGAGCCCACCTTACCCGATCCGTGTTGTCACCAGGAGCTGCCGCAGGGGGGCAGTCTAGCCGATGTACCCCAGGTGGCTCTGGAAACCCACAGGCCTGGCAGCATGTCATACGCACCCGATGTGAGCAACAGCACCAAAACAACCGAAACGAAATACATGTTGGGCGACCCTAAGCCATGGTGCCAGCAGGCGTCAGCAGGAGAGAGAGGCCAGGATTTTGAGAGTTCAGCCCGAAGCACACGGCCGCACTCCACCGTGGGTCGTGTCTCAACCCAGGATCTTGTCATCGGTTTCGCCAATGTCACCTCCTGCAATCCAAGTGTCATCGCCTGGTTAGAGAGCTGTGGTTGTGCAATGGTAGGACTCCAAGAGACGCATTTGAGCCCGGCAACGTTGCATGACAGGCGGGGCACTGTTGAAGCTCTGCAGTGGAAGCTCATAGGCCAGGAGGCCTTTTTAGGAGAAACGGGTTCGCGGATAGGAGGGGTCGCCTGGGTGGCTAGGAAGCATAGGAATGTTTGGACCAAGCACTCCTTCCTCCTGGAAGGTGCCGGTTATGAGGCCATCGGTGTCCAGGCCCAGGGCCTTGCTTACACCCTGATCAGTCTCTATCTCAAAGATACGGAAGGCCCGACGGGGCCGCGAAATGCGCAGATCCTTGCAAGCTTGGTGGCATATGTGCGTGAGTTGCCGGAGCCTTGGATCATAGGAGGTGATTGGAACTGCACACCACATGTTTTCATGCAGAGTAGCGTGTGTCAAGTGATGCGAGGCCGTTTGATCACCGCTGGAGAAATCACATGTACCCAAGGTGAGGGCAATGAACTTGATTTTGTCTTGGTTAGCCGTTGCATTGAAGCAGCCGTCACCTTGACAGTCGATTGGCAGGTGCCGTGGAAACCACATGCAGCATTGAAGCTGATTGTGGCAGGCGCTGGTGTGGCAGACCCTCGATGGAGACTGCCACAGTTCGCTAAACTGTCAGGAGATGTCTCGGAGAGGGATTGGCCAGAGGTTGGCGCAGTCACACCACACATCATGGGACAGGTCGGGCAGGATGGAGTCTCAAGTGCATTGGCCAGGTGGGCCAAAGCCATGGAGGTGTGTCGAGGTGATCCGCAGGGTCGAGGCTATCAGGTGGACAAAGTCTGGGGAACAGTGCAAGAGACGCGGTTTGTGCAGGCCAGCACGGCAACTGCTGCAGGATGGTGGAGTCGCATGCGGAGGTGCATCATCACACTCCAAGGCCAGCTTAGCCGCAACACGTGGGAACAGGTGCAAGGTAATGCCGAAGCAGCCGACGCTTTCCTGCAAAGGGCGGTGGGCAGGCCTGAGGAGGCATCCTTTGTTGAAGAGGTTTCGAGAGCCTTTGAGCAGCG